GCTGAGTTTTTAAGGGCTGGCTCTGGTGGCAAGAGGAAGGCCTTAGTGCCTGGCCCACAGGCCGCCCGGAGTGTGGACAAGAGGTTAAGTGCAGGAATGAGGGGCTTGCCATGAGGGAGGAACCCCCACATTTTTCAGCTTCTTGGAAAAAATCATCACTCAGTAGGTGTAGCCAAATGGACTCAGCATTGCCTGACCACTCGAGTGGTCCCTATAGAAGCCGCTCAGGGAGCTATCAGGAATCGTCTATGCTGACACAAAAATGCCCGAATGCAAACAGAATACACAAAGAGGATGGCTGCAGTGAAATTCTGAGATCTGGAGCAAAACAATAAAGAAAAATCAGGTTTTCGAACTTGTAGAAACTTAGTGAGGAGAAGAGATAGAGGAGAAATAGAAGCAGCTTTAAGGTGAGAAGTGTTCAACTCTGAATATTTAAGAGCAAACGTGCTCTGGTCAGGACCACCTCATGTCATTGCTCCTAGAGATGCGTCAGCAATGGTGCGTTTTTCTCTTTCTCTTCCGAAAGCTGGGCCCTTTCTGACCAGCTTCCCCATCCTCTCTCTGCACTTCACACACGCTATAGCACTGCTAAATCTGGTCGGATGACAGCTGGACTAGAAGACAACAGAGTTCTACAAAGTAAAACACTCTATTCCTGGGGATCCACGCTTTCCATTTTGCACCTCATCAGCACACAATCTAGTACAACTGTGTAATGCATGTGCATATTTACACACCAACGATATAATGATTACTATCAACCCACAGAGTGAACAACAGTAAATACGCTGTGTTTCAAAAAAAATCAACAATACATAAACATAACTTGACATTTCCTTCTTACTCACACCAACGATCTTCCCCTTCAGATAGCTAGAATAGCCACAGTTACCCAAAGGGTGAGGGAATGGAAGATTCTGTGGGGATGACTGGGTTAGACCGGACCCACCCTTCCGTCAGGTGGCTAGGAAAGGACCCCCCTCTGGAGGAGACACCCAAGCTCTCTGTGGGCAGGCTTTGGGAGTCACTGTGTTGTGCCAATTCTCCAGCCCGGACACTGCAACACAACAAAGGTCTCGAACTGCTTAAGTGCCCTCTTCAGGTCCATATTTTCTGCATTGAAGGCAGCGTCATTCATGAGAAAGCTTGCCATCAACCTATGAGGTGAAGGCGGTACCAACCACGGATGATCCCTGCCTTATTCCACTGTCTCTTTAGGAGTATTAAAATGCTGATTTTCTCTTTCTTCATTCCTTTGGCATTTATTAGCTGTGATTTCCTCATGATTAGCAAATTTCTTTCATCAACTTTTTGATTACCTTCAAATACAACTTGCCCTAGAAAGGCAGGATTAAAGCTGGATTCTTTCCCTTTATTTTTCAGAGTAATGACGTGGTGTCCTAGCAACCTGAGAAGGGGGATCAATGGACTTTGTGGGCTTCTCTTGTTTGGAGGATCATCCTGGACTCGTGGAGTATCCGTCACTGGTTTGACTGCAATCCACTGTAGCTGTTCCTTCTGATTCTCAAACTACCCGATCTTTGGCTCCTATGTCCTTCTCACTCCATCCCAATGGTCTTCCTTAGCTTCCTTGCTGGCATGTCTAGAGGTCCCCTTGTGAATGTTTCCTGCCCTAGACCTGGAATCAGCTATTTATCTGAGCAGGAGGTTCCTTATCATGGTAAAGGTATTTATTTGAAAGATTTATTTGTTAGAGAGAGAGAGAGAGAATGCACAAGCAGGGGGAGTGGCAGGCAGAGGGGGAAGCAGGCTCTCGGCTGAGCAAGAAGCCTGAGGCGGGACTCGATCCCAGGACTCTGGGATCATTACCTGAGCTGAAAGCAGAGGCTTAACCGACTAAGCCACCCACGCGTCCCAGTGGGAGAGGTATTTAAAAGGTTCCCAGTCTGAGTGCCAAGGATACTCCTTGCTACTGGATTGTCTTTACTTTTGATCCTTTTCCAAGTACAGAGCTAGGAAACACTTCCTTTTTAAAGAGCAAAGTAAATTGATATTGATATTTCCTATTCTAGCTGGAGATAATACAGTCTTTAAATTCTTTAAATACTACCCACCTTCTTGTATACTGAAAGTCTGGGCTCCTACAGTATACCTCTAGCAGTTTCAAATAACAATGTAAATTATTTCCCACTATGAATGTATGGTCCAAAGACTGAGTTTTAAAGTCACTTGAAGTAATTATTTTCTCTGTGTGGGACATTCACACTAATCTGATATAGAACACCAGGTATGTTTCTTTTTTTCAGTCGTTTTCAGTTGTTTGTGAATGCTTTTTTTCTTTTTATAAATTATGCAAAACATTGACATGGTTCCTAAGTCAAAATAAGGTACGTTAAAGAGACATCTTTCTGTCCCTGGTCCTGCACCCCCTTCCGCCAGGGGAAGTGATTTTCATAGGCTTGCTATTTATCCTTAGCTTATTTCTTTTGAAAAGACAGGCAAGTTCATATACACTAACATATGCACACATTGCCTTCTTACACAGAAGGGAGGAAGTCGACAAGCTGCCCTGCATGCTGGTTTTATTACTTCTCTGTATCCCAGTCATCGCCCTTAGAGCAGTGGGGACCGTCCTCACTGCTCCTTCCAGTTCCATGGTGCTCCCCTCTCTCAGGGGACCATGTCATTTACTCAGTCCCCTAGTATGAACATCTGGGTTATTGCCACTCTTTGCCTATTTCAAACAGTGTCACAACAAATGACCTGTGCACACACCATTTTTTTTTTCTGCTCACTTATCTTTGGGAGAGACTCTTAGATATGACCTGCTCAAAGGGAAGATGTGCTGATAGTTTTGTTAGATGGTGACAAATATGCTCCCCCACTTAGTAACATGTTGCATTCTCACTAGTAGGGCAGGAAAAGATGGATGGACCCTCACCATTGGAATAGCTATGCTACCAACTTCTGGATGCTGGTGAGCCTGATGTTTGGGACATGGTGTCTTGGTGCAGTTAAAGTATGTATTTCTCTTTATGGTGAGTGAGGGTAATATGTTTTCAAATGCTTGGGGCAATAAGCTTCTTCTTCCTTGCAATGAATAATGGCCTTTGCTCATTTTCCTGTTGGATTGTGGAACTTTTCCTTCAGTTTTTAGAAGCTCTTAATATATTAAAGGATACTAACTCACCAAGATAGAATTTGCTTATGTTTTTGCCATAGAGGTTTTTTTTTTTTTTTTTTTTTTTAAAGGCAGTCAAATGTATCAGTTTTCTCCCCTGATTCCTGCTGAATTCCGAGTCAGAAAATCCGTCCCCTTCCCAGGTTAATAGGAATTAGTCTGTGTTTTCATCTTTAGTTACATTTTAAGCAACGAATTTCTTTCAATTCAGCCAACCAACACTGCTGAAATCCTCCATTCATGGAGAACAAAATGGGTTTTTAGGACTCTGATTTTCAACATTCTAGAAGAGAACTTTATAGTTTCTAGAAATACTTCCTATTTCTACTCTCTGGATACAAGGCAACACCATCTTGTAGAGGATACAGCCTATCATTTGGGTTATTCTGGCCATTTTAGAAACGCCTAACATGTTTCATCTGATATAATGCACAGGTTACTTCTTACAATATTCTATACCTCATCTCAGCCCCTCAAAAGTTATACAATAAAGTCAAACCAAAGGCTAACTCCAATCATATCTTACCATGCTGACCAGCCATCTATCACCCAACGTGCCACATATTAGTCTGTCCCCTAAGCTGTGCCCCCAGGACGGGCTGCAATAGCAGGATGATATAGCTCCAGGAACAATAATAATGTCTGCCATGCATATAACATGCTCTTGCAAATCCTTCTGAGCTGAAAAGAACACTGAACACTTGACTATGAGCTGATTTTTAAATCACCGCTGTCCAATTGCCATAACCCTTCTTAATTCTACTGTCTCATATGTCACATGCAAGGATTAAGTCCAATGTGTTCTTTGTTATGTTTAATGAACCTGACAAAAGGGTGACTGCATACAACGGGGAGAGGCGAGTAGGCCACGGATCCCCTGGGTCTCAACAAAGGAAACAGATTCACATCTCAGATACTAATTCTAGGATGAAAATCTCTGGATTACAATTATTCTGACAACTGTGGAAAATGGGAGTTCTCCACTCTGAGCATCCAAATGAGGTCATGCTTAACTCGTGTGACATTTCCAGAATAGGACTTCACCTCAATCGAGGAATACAGACTTCAACTCTAAGTTTATTTTGGGCATGATCATTATCAAATTTGGGAGTTTCCGTCACAGTCCTCAGCTAATTATCAGTGAAATGAGGCTCGAGGAGGTAAATTGCTAGCAGCAATAAGGAATGGTGAATATGGGAAAGGGAACAGGACAGAAACAGAAAAAAACCGACCGCCGGAAAAGTCAGTTCATCATTTCGGAGGTGTCCACTACAACACCTCCTGAAATTATTACTGCTGTTGGCATCAGTGACACCTGGTGAGCAAGAGCGAGTGAGATTTCATTCTGGTGTCAGAGCGTGAGAAGTGATTAAGTATGGAACAGATCCTTTAAAAAAAAAAAAAAAAAAGCTGACTTTTTTTCTTTACAAGGGTTGATGTATAAATAATTAAGACTCATTTTTTTCGAAAATCTATCTACATGAAAGACCTCATTCCTCATCAGTCATCAAGTGGACCCTACACAGCATCTGTGTGGAATGAAATGTGTTTAGTGCCTGCCAATCCAGAATCCACCCAGAGTCCTTTCCCAAATGGTTTTTAGTGAAACTTCGTATTGAACGTTTTTTTCTCTAGAACATTTCTAAGGCTTTTCACAAAATGCTCATATGGCCTTAATTCCAATTAAACAACAACAACAAAAAATCAGTGATTCCCAAGGGAAAGGTTCCACAGCACATGTTTCTACAGCTAAAAGCCCTGAGAATCATAACCCAAAATACACAGCCATCTAGTTTCTTTTCCCGTTTATCTCCGGTGGCATTCTCGAAAGCAGAGGGGAAGCGTGAATACTCACGGAACATGGTATAAAACTGCTGTGGGTTCAGATTCCATTTTCCCCAGGGCGTCTTGTGGCCTTTAGACTGGGCATAGTTAGCATGGTTAAACTCTGGCTCAGTACCAAATGAATCCAGGACTCGGAGCATGCACCTGAAAAGAAAAAGTAATGTGGATAAAACTACAACTCTGACCCCAAAGTTCAAAAGGTAAAAGTTCATGGCGCCTGATTGGCTCAGTTGGTTAAGCGTCTGCCTTCGGCTCAGGTCATGATCCCAGGGTCCTGTGATGGAGTCCCGCGTCGGGCTCCCTGCTAAGCGGGGAGTCTGCTTCTCCCTCTGCCTCTGCTGACCCCCACCCTGCCCCACTCGGACTCTGTCTCTCTCTCCCTCAAATATATAGATAAAATCTTAAAAAAAAAAAAGGTAAAAGTTCTAACCTGTCCTGCAGGGACTACCAAGAACGTACAAATACTTTTCATCAGAAACACTAGTGGGTGGGAAGTGAGAAACTACAACCTTTATACCATACATCTCCATGTGTGACTTCTGAGACTGAGCCATCACACATAGGTACGTTTTCCGTCAGATTAGCTGACAAGTCACAGAAGATCACTCAGATAACAACAAAATACGAAGTCCCACGAGAGCTAGCACTGTAGACTGCCTTGTTCACTGCTGCCCCCTCACTAGGGCCAAGCGTATGGTGGAGCCTAACAAAGAGCTGCTGAAGAAACAAAAGAACTACCGTTTTTAGAAGTGGCCATGGTCTGAATATTTGTGTTCCCCTCCCAAATTCTTAGGCTGAAACTCTAAACCCCCAAGGTGATGGTACTAGTAAATAGGGCTCTGGGGGTGATTAGCTCATTTAGCATTCTTATAAAAGGGACCCCACAGGGGCTCCTAGGTGGCACGGTCATTTAAGTGTCTGACTCTTGATTTCGCCTCAGGCCATGATCTCAGGGTTCTGGGATGGAGCCCTGAGTCAGACTCTACACTCAGCAGGGAGTCTGCCTGGGATTCTCTCTCTCTCTCCCTTTGCCCCTCCAGCTCCTGATCTCTTTCTCTCTGAAATAAATTAATTTAAAAGAGAGAGAGATCCCCCAGAATTCCCTTGCCCCTTCCCTCAGGTGAGGACAAAGTGAGAAGTCTGAGACCTGGAGGAAGGAGAGCCTCGCTTGACCATGCCGGCTCTCTGCCCTTGCACTTCAGCCTCCAGAACCGTGAGCAATAAAGGTTGTCTCTAAGCCACCCAGACTGTGGCATTTTGTACAGCAGCCCAAACGGACGAAGATGGAGGTCTTACTCTCTGTAAAGCATATGGCACACCTTAGCTCTTTCAACAGTCATTTACCATTTCATCAATTAATAAGTGTATTTAATTTTAGGTAGAGTTTAGAACCTCCCTTAAGAGGCAGTGTTGATTTTTCTGTCAACTTGACAGGACTGGGACATTACTGCTTTCTTCCAGAGCCAGGAGTAAAATTGAAGACATTTCATTTGGCTCTTCCAACAAAATCTTCAAACTGGGTCAGCCAAATATCTGGTCTACTATCTATTTTTGTATGGCTTATGAACAAAGAATGATCTTTATGTTAAAAGGTTTTTTCTTTTTTTTTAAAGAGATAGTTTGTGACATGAAAATTAGATGAAATTCCATTTTCAGTGTTCAGAAATGAAGTTTTATTTCAACCTAGCCACGCCTAATTGTTTACTTAGGGTGTATGGCTGCTTTCACTCAATAACAGAGAACTTCAATAGTTGCCGGAAAGACCATAAGCCAGCAAAGCCTAAAATATTTACTACATGGCCCTTTATAGAAAGAGCCTGTCAATCACTGCTTTAGAGTACACACACAAAAAAACAACCAATGCAAGAATCAATGCTGACACCTCCTACATTAATTAACTCATTCTTTCAATTCATCACCGATTCTCAAACCATTGATGTACATTTAGTTTGTGCCTGGCCAATAAAAATAGCTCTGTTTTCTGCGGTTATACCTCATCAATACTTCTGAATGGCTCTTCCTGGACCAATGAGCATAAAAGCAAATAAATATTAAAGCCCACGTGTTAGGGGCACCTGGGTGGCTCAGATGGTTAAGCATCTGCCTTCGGCTCAAGGCACGGTCCCACGGTCCCACGGTCCTGGGATCGAGCCCCACGTCGGGCTCCTGGCTCAGCGGGGAGTCTGCTTCTCCCTCTGCCTCTGCCTCTCCCCCTGCTCAGGTTATCTCTGTATCGCAAATGAATAAATAAAATCTTAAAAAAATATTAAAGCCCGCATTTTATAATCAGATAATGGCAAGTGAGCTGTAAGTTTCGGATCCAGTTTCTTTCTTCCTTTCCCCACTATGATGAAGGCGTTCTCTCAACTTTTTTTTCACATCAATGTGTGATTCAGAATAAAATGCAAACACCAGATTGGATTTTCCAGAAAAATCAAGAGCAAATCGCCACTTCCGTGTGATGCTTTTCTCATCTGAGATCACCACCCTTTGCATAGACAAGAACGGGAGGAGAAGACAGAGGGCGAGAGCGAACACAAGCCAACCACAGAAGGCGCTTCCTTAGCTTGGATTCCTGCGTGGCTCTCAAGGAACATGCTCCCGTCACAGTGACAGTTTTCACAATTAGCACCAAGAATGCATCATCAGCTTGACAGCCGTCAACCACAAGGTGGACAGAAACGGGAGCCCACAGTCCAGGAATAAAGAAAGCTGGGGAGCCAAGGAACTGACCCGTGTGTGTTTTCTCCGGTCTCTGAGTAGTTTGGGGCATTCCTTTTTTCTTACTAATAAAACATTGCCATTCCTTAACTTATATACATATTTTTAGGATCAAAGTTTGCATTAAAAACTTACATCAAAACCTCCTATATTGTAACTAACTCTAACTTGTATTTTAAAATAAGCCACTGGTTGGAATCAGTATATTTTCTTCTGAGAAAGATGGCAGCATTCAGAGAATGTAGGGACAACAGTGGCTGTTCTGTAGAGGGTTGCTGCAGAGCAGGAGGGGAGGGAGGGACACATGTGGACAGGTGGAGGTGCTCTGCTCCTGCCCAGGGGATGGGGCTGAGCCTCAAAGATTACAGGCTCTGTGCAAGCACAGCAGGGAGGAACAGGCCATCCTTGACCTAAGAAACCTTTGTCTCGAAGGCTTTGGCTACTTCTACTCAGTTGCAATCCACTCTAACAGGGTATACGCCTCTCTAGCTTTGGCGTGTGATTTTATTTTTAACTTTGGAGTTTTGCTGGTTTTCTTCTAAATTTAGAGAATTCAGACAAACCCTGATGATTCAAGACGCCTGGTGGGAGCCTAATGCCTGCAAGCCGGGACTCTGATACCGTGGCTACATGATGCTGGGCTTCTCAAGCCAGCGGAAAGCTATAGCATGAAAGATGGAACATCTGAGAAACTTGGAATTCTACTTCCTCCTACGTAAGCTTTAGTTTGGGAATCATCTATTTTTTTTTTTTTTAGCTGACCTGGGTTTGTTTTATAAACCAGAGGCAGGGGACGGATCTCTGTGTATGGCAGAGGGGGTTTAACATTACAGTTTTCCTCCTTCAATCACATTCTACAGCTGTGTTTTTGGAACTGGGTCTGTGTTGTTAATATTTATGCAGTTCCTCTAATGTCTTTTGTGTGTCTGAAGCATCAGGAACAGATCGATGACTTAAAAAGATATTTGCCTTGCTGCCCAAGGCAGCTGGCCTCCTCCTAACGGGAATCGCTGTGGTCATGCCAAATGACTTCTGGAACATTCTCTTTGCTCTGAGCCACACTACTATAAGATGGACAACTTCCTTGCCAGGACCTACTTTCTAATTTGGAGTTGGATGTAAAACATGGTGTATCTTGCGCTATTTGCACCTCACTTTCCTGTGTGTCCTCAATACTCAGCAAAGACCTCACAGGAAGAAAAATGGGTATGAGTTTTGCAGTCCCGAGCGGTGTACTAGTTGCATGAAGGCACTGAACACATGTTTAACTGAATTTCTTGGGTCCCTACATAAATTGGAAAGAATTTACAGGTATGTTTCCAAGATCAACAGGACTCAAGGTTTTGCTTCTAAATGGAAGATCAGATGATACCTTTTACATTTAACGGAATTCCTGCCATGTACCATCAACCAAGACGAATTCAGAGAGTCCTGACCGTGTCAAATCTTCAGAAGGGAAAGAAGTGGGCAAGAAACTTTCCAGAGGACCTGCTTGGTCTTTGGATGAAATCTTAGCTTCATCACACCACAAAGACCGCAGGGCTGAAGTCCTAACAGACGTCCTGCCAGCTAGTATTACTAACGTGGACGATGATTTATTAAAGGGAGGATAGATACTATACCCTTCCATAAAATTCCTTGGAGACGGTGCCTTTTCATCCAATAAGAATCAAATACCAACCGGTGGTGACCATTTTAATAATGAAATCATCCTTTTTAATTGACTGAAACACTACCACTGAGGACATTTTTCCATCCCAACAGCCCTTCTTAATGGTGAGGATATGTGAGTCTAGGGATGCCCGCGATGCCTCTGTCCTTTTGTACCAGATGCCTGCCATTTGCTAAATGCCAGAGAACGATAGCTCTGCCTTTCTTTCCTTCTTTAATGCTGTAGCTAAAAAGGAAAAAAAAAAAATGATTGTTTACTTACACGGCTTATTAACCAAAAATAAAGATGGCTATTTCCACATAACTGAGAACAAACGTGAGGGCTTGTGATGTATGAAGATTTCAAGGAAAAACAAACCCAAAAAAAAAAAAAAAACCCAGGAATAATGTGATGCAGAAGGTAGAGCGCTATCCTGGCTCAAACCAAGATTTTTATTTTGCTTTTTGATGAAACTATATCCAAAAGGAAACGAAAAGCGCACAGACTCCTCAATCAATCCCTTCCTTCTGTCCCTGAGCATGGCACCGCTGAGGGAGAAAAAAATATTGCTACTGGCAAGAAAACTGCAAGAAAATTCTACAGACAATGATGTTTTCCCTACTATGTTTTGGAGAATCTTAAAATCTTGACTTTTTATTTCTTTTGAACATCTACTAAAGGACTTGCAATCTGACATAGGCTTGGAGATTAAAGTTAATAAATAATATTAAATTATAAACTAATCTGAAATGGACCTAGTTCAAGTTGTTAAGGATTCAATTAATTGGGTCAAGTTACAAGAACACATCAAAACATCTCTTTACCCAATAGCAAAAGAAAAGAAACACATGAAGAGATTTTAAGTCATGCTACTTGAAAGATTTTCCAAGTGTTCTTTTAGGAAGTTGGTTCAAACTGTAGGTCAACATTCACTATCAGCTAGTCAGGTTGGTACTAACTTCAGGATTTTTACCAAATTTATGTACCACTGACACCATTAGATAAAATATGTTTATTTACATCTATTGGAAACCTTTAGAGGCCATAAATGAAAGCCAGTACCAACTCTAATAAGGGGAAGATAACCAAAAATAGCGTAAGTCTCTTCTTTAAAAATTATTATTAAATTTAAACTGGATACTTTGCCTAAGGCTGAAACTGACAGCTACCCTCAGGTTGTTAAAAACGCATGTAAGCGTTGCAAGATGTGTTGGAGGTACAACAGCATCTAACTAAGCCTTTTTAGAAAGATTGGAGGAAATCTGAAAGATTGATAAACTTCATTATATAATTCATCGTTATTTAATGCCATGCTTGTGTACCATGTAAAATCATCTCAAACACTAAATCATGGTCCCAAACCCACACAGAGGGAACAATGGGTTCTTCTCCAAAATGACAAAGGCATTCACTTGGGTCATTCTCAGCACAGGTCGTCTTAAAAAGTGCAAAACCCCAGCATTCAGACAAGGTATTCACAGCTTTCTCTTCCAAAAATGACAACTCACGAGGGAAAGGGGAAGAGAAATGAGTCATCATCTCAAACCTGAGCAGTGTAAGAAATGACATTTTCCACATTTTATCCAAATTGTTACTTCAGTAACAAATGATATTGGTGTAGGCATACAGAGAGGAATGAGGAGTATTAATGAAGGTAAAGAGGTGGCTGGACACTTATTGTCTATTCCTAAAAGAAATCAATGAAAATAATGAATAGCCTTTTTTTTTTAAAGATTTTTTTTATTTATTTATTTGAGAGAGAGAGAATGAGAGATAGAAAGCACGAGAGGGAAGAGGGTCAGAGGGAGAAGCAGACTCCCCGCTGAGCAGGAAGCCCGATGTGGGACTCGATCCCGGGACTCCAGGATCATGACCTGAGCCGAAGGCAGTCGCTTAACCAACTGAGCCACCCAGGCGCCCAATGAATAGCCTTTGAAAGTAAAAAGTCACTGGGGAGAATGTGAATTTCAATTAGGAATGAGAAACCTATTCCACACAGTGGAATAAGTGTTTTCTGCCTGTACCATGTCCCCCCTGTTTTAAAAAAAAAGCAAAAAAAAAAAAAAGCTCTATTAACTTTAGGACAGCATGTAGCACTTACTGGTAGTGAACCCAGGATGGCCCAAGAGTTTTCTTGAATTGAGCAAGTCCTACGATATCAATATAAATGAGCTCAACGATCCTGTCTCCTACAGTTGGGCAGCCAGATCGGTTTCCTACAACCTTCTTCATTATCCTAGAAAAAGGATAGGAGAGAGGAAAAAAATAACTTATTTCAAGATATGACACTTAGCAACATTAATAGGCAAACAAACATCCCAAGAATGTTGTCGGGGAGGATGGCATGGTCTGTTCCAATCTGCTGCCTATCCAAATTCTGCCCACCAATCAGGGCCTATCCAGAGCCCTGATTCGGATTCTGGCAAAAGTAAATGGTGGCACGCATGCACATACACACACAAACACACTTTGAAACCAAGGAAGAGCTGGATCTGAATCTGTCTCTACTATCTAGCTCCACTAGCAGCCATGAGATCTTAGACGTCACTAACCTTTCTGGTCTTTCCTCCTCATGAGAAACAAACCAACCAACCAACCCCAACCTACCCACAAAACAGGATTTGTGACAGAAAAGATAATAAGAAAGCAACGTGTCAGGGATTCTTCAGGTGTTTAAATGAGGTATTAAAAAGAAAAGTGCCTCATGTATCCCAGATACTCAGTGGCTATTGCTTTCCCCCACAGAACCTGTTCTCATTACTCCAGCCCCCAGTGACTTCCTAAAGGTCTTCAATTTCTAGCCACTACAATATAAACTTCTATAGTGTCTTGTGCTGTTTCCTAATTTTTTCTGTCAATTTTTTCCTTCTGACTAGACTCTATTACATAACCGGCACTGTGGTTTATAATTTTTTGTTACCCTTCCTTCTATCTACCCATCTCCTCACCCATCCATACAAACCCACCCTTGCACCCAGAGAGAGCTGACATACTTGGTCATACGCCAACTTCAAGTGCGGGAGTAAAAACTGCTCACCAAACCACACTGCCGCTCACACCCAGAAATCGGTCCTCACTGATGCCTTTTATCCCTGCCCACCCCCCATAACCATCCCTCACCAGTGGGATAGTTACTGATTCTGGCCACCCTACTTCGAAGGATGCATCCTAGAAGCAGGACTCTGCTCTGTAGCACGGTACTGTCGCTCCTTCAGGTACCTTCCTCCTCCTCTCATCTGGCCCTCTGAAATTACCAGGCTCTGCATAACCAGTTTCTTCCCAAGATTTTGACAGTATGTCTACACAGGGCCAGACAGTAAATACTTTCGCCTTTGCAGGCCACACGTTCCCCCGTCTCAAGCATGCAACTCTGCCCTTGGAGAACAAAAGCAGTCCTAGGCAATCCATCCACAACGGGTGTGCTGTGTTCCCGTGGGAGTTTCGTGACAAACACACCAGAAGACTGCACCTGGCCCACAGTGCCACCGTGTGCGGACTCCTGGTCAACCCTGTCTTCAGCGGTTCCCAAACTTGTCTGCACATTGGAATTATCTGGAGGCATCGAGATACTCATGCCTGGGTCCTATCCCCAAAGGTTGTGATTTAATTAGTCTGGCATATGGTGTGGGCACTGGGAGGCCCCAAAGATCCTCAGGTGATTCTAATGTGTAGGCATCTTCAGGAACCACTGCTCTATGTGGCTTCCATAATTATCTTCTTAAATAAAACACATCTGGTTCTGTCACCAATGCTTAAAGCACTCCATAGACTTCTTGACCAACAAATTAAGTCTCTGCCTGGTAGAGCTTTAGTACGCCTTTTCTGACCTCCCTGGGGAGAACCTGTCCTTAGAGTTCCCACAGTTTTCCATTTATTCACCCACTCACCCATTCCTTGATTCATCCCTTCACTGGTTTGCTCAGTAACTAGTCACAAGCACCCACTGGGTGCTAGGCACTATTCTAGGTGCCACATACCCCATGGTGAGCAACAGTCACTGTTTCTGTACTCTCTTGGCTTACGTTATAGCATCCATGCCTCATTTAGTACTAATCACATTGCAATTAGTGTAATTATTATGCAATGTATTAGTTGTAATTACCAAAGGATTGGCATTTCCTTGAACACATGCTGGTCATCTCTGTATACCCCATACCAAGAACCAGTGCCCAAAAAGCAGTGAATGACTACTGAATGTATGGATGCCTCAACTTCACAGGCCATGTACACAATGTGTTTTAAAGCAAGCAGGAGGCAGCATGCTGAAGGGACAGGGGTAGTGTTTAGGGGTTCAGAAGACCTTGGGTTTATCTAGATCCAAAAGGAGCAATTTAGTACAGTGGTCAAGAACACAGGCTTTGAGGTCAGACAGGCTTAGCTCTAATCCTGGCTCTCAAGTGTTTTCCATGTGTTCTTAAACAACTCAGTTTCCTCATCGTTAAAATGCAGAAAGCCACAGCACTTACTTCCAAGTTTGTGTAAATAGTACGTAAAATGCTCAGTATCCGATGCACGGTAGGTGCTCAACAAATGTTAGCTGCTAATCGTCGTCATCAATACTGTGGTTATCCTAAATGTTGACGCTCCTGTTGTAACTAATGCCCTGATCACAGTTTTAGCATATAGAAATCATTTTAAAAATGACAGTTGATATTATTGCTTTCATCTCAACAGTGCCACTCCTCAGGTGTGTGGACCTTGGCCCCTAACACAAGTGACCTCTCTGGGCATCAATGTCATGGACAATAAAGTAGGAGTGGGGGGGCATATTTTGTTTTAAACACCCTTCCATCTCTAGAATGTTCACTCGAGGTATTTCGTACTGCAACATGATAACTTGGCTGCTGGGAAGAAAGTCTCCATGGGCAGTTATCCAAAAGGAGTGAAGGGGTGCAAAGCATTCCTGCCTAGCCAGCTGTGTCAATCTATAAGAGATTAAGAGAGGGCTAGAGCCAGAAGAATGTTTCAGGGAACTAGAAAAGCCAGGTAGAGTTAACAGACTCAGACCGGAAAGTTGGCTTTACTGAAAAGAGGATTGGATCAGGGCTTTCAAGAAACTCATTCTATCCAAATTAAATTATAAACAGGAACCTGCCCTGTTTTAAGATTTGGAAGGCTTGAAGTTGAGTAGGGAATGGTATGCATTTCAGCAAGAGACAGGGAATTAGGAAAGTCAATAATGTTTTGTGCTGCACATGTTGGAAGCACCTGTAATAGCAAAGAATAAGCTCCTTAGTTTGAATTTTCTGGCATTCATTTACGAAGCCTCTGGAGCCTGCATCTACAATGAAAACATATTATCCTTTTCACAGTGTATGTATTTAGCTCCTGAAAATAATCTTATCTCCTGTTTAGTGAATTATCACTTGCATTTTCCTCCACAAGAAATTACACACTAATAGAGGGCTTTAAGAGTTTACAATTTCTTTTTTGTATTCTGATTTTAAAATTGAAAAGTAATCTCCTTACTCCTTGAGCTCAGCCAGTGAAGCTGAAATCCTAATGTCATGGCCCAGTAAGTACAGAGATGTAATTAAATCACTCCACTGAACTAATTCACCAAGAGGGCCACCACTGAAAGCTGTCTCTGCTATCTTAAATCCAGATTCCTTAGTCAGGAGTCCCAGGTGAACGAGGACCTGAAAAAAACAAAAACAAAAACAAAGGAGAGGCATATATTGATTCCCACTGAACCAAGTACAAACTCCATAGTAACACACCAAAAACAATCAACCAATTCTAAAGTGATGTTTATGTTCTAATGAAACCTCAACATGGCGTAAGATTTTTCTAAAAGGTACAAAGAAATGGAAGGAAATAAAGTCACTACTGCCCCTTTTATGGCTATGAACATGATATATGGATAATCTGTTTTTAAAAAGCAGGATAACATTTGGGAAATCAGAATTAAAGGAGAATAAGCCAGGGCAATAAAATTATCATTTAACAATATTGTTTTTTCCCCACAGCTGGAATATTTTTAAGGTTTTAACGTAAAAAATTCCAAACAGATTCCAAAATCAGACACGATAATGCAGTCAATTCCAATGTACTCATCATATAAATTTCACAATTATTAACTCAGGATCTTAATGTACACCCCTCATTTTCTCCCAACCCCTCTAGCTTTTGTTGAAACAAATCTTAGAGATCATATCCTTTCAACTGCAAATACTTCAGTTTGTATCTCTCAAAGAAACAAACCTTCAGTTAAAAAGCATAACCACAACATCACTATCACCCCTAAAATAGCTATTAATTCCTTAATATCATTCAATATCCAGTTAGTGTTTACACTTCCTCAACTGTTCCTTTTTTCAAGCACAGTTGTTCAAGTCAGAAGTCAAATAAAGTGCATAAACTATAATTGTCTCATTTATTTCTCAGGCTTCTTTAACTCCAACCTTTGGGGGTGGGGAGAGTTTTAATTTATCTGTCAAAGAGACTAGGTTGTATTTCCAGTAGAGTCTCTCACACTTCGGGTTTTGCTGATTATATAACAGATTCTTCCACTCCTTGTATTTATAGTAAATTAGTAATTAGATCTGCAGGCATGATTCAATTCATATTTGATGTTTTTGGCAACACTACTTCATAGGTGGTACTGTGTGCTTCCACTAGTGGGAACGTCTGGGCTCTCTGGTGATGTTAGCAGCTACTGATGATCACTAACTAGATGCACTCATCCATTAGGGGTTGCAAAATGGTGATACTTTATTATTCCTTCTGCCTTTATTAGCTGGAATGCTTCTATAAAGAGAAACTAACCCCCCCCCCCATCAACTATTTGGCTCTGCTGAAGTACGGTTTACATAGAAAAAGCCCGGGAAATATTTGACTCTTGCCCTTTGTCAGTTTTCAAAATAACAGATTTGTTAGCATACTCTAGTGACCATCAACGAGGCTTTTTAAAGGTATCATTATAAAATCATGGATAGAAGTATATTAGGTGCGTTTCAATAAGCCGTAGTTATTATCCTTACGGATTATTAAATTGTCCCATCTTGCCAATGGGAGGCCATTCAAGTTGGCTTCTAAGTTCTTCTGGCACAATTCTAGTAGTCTTTGAGAGTTTCTTTGCTCTCTAGTATGACAGATGTTCCCGGCTCATCCTGTACAACTTCTGTCTCAGACCTTAACCAACGATTTTTTCAAGAACCTCTTATACCATTTAGTGGAAATGGCATCTGAAGATCAAGTTCTGGTGCGTAAGGGGACTCTAGTTAATCACTGTCTGTAGCCCTTTTCAGTGGACAAAGCTGGAAATTTATCTCTCCTCCAGGATAAAACCAATCATAAATTCACACTGGTACTTCCCGTTCAAACTCAGGATTGCAGTAGCTTTGCATAACATTATCCATCTTACATATGTTATTTCCTCTCTCCCACATGGAAAATCCCACTTCTCCAGGGTACTAACATAAGTGCTTAGCTTTATTCCAACATGCAGAAAGGATTCAGAATGAGATATGGACACCACCACCTACTACGTGTAAACTCAGTAAAACTTCTCTTAAGGTATTTTGCAGTTTTTTTGTCCTTTGTGATACACCATCAGAAATGCTGAACTGGCTGTGTTCTAGTCACTAAGAACAGTCCTTCTTTGTGTGTTTGCTGTAAAAGTGGGTACGGAGTCAGCTCAGGTCTTATCTTCTTTGTAATTTTTAGATACTGTTTTTTTTTCATAATTCAATTTTGTTTTATAATATGTCAAGTGATTCTAGTATCAAATCTACAGAGAAAGATATATTTAGTTAAGTCTAGTTTCTACTCCTGTTGCCTCCCTCTTTCCACATATTTGACTCTTTTTATTGTGGTATGATAGATGTTGACATAAAATTTAATACTTTAGCCATTTCTAAGTGTACAGTGGCATTAAGTGCATGCACAATGTTATGCAACCAGCTCCACTATCCATCTCCTTTAATTTCATGGTTTATCCATTTTTAAAAATATGATCAAGCATAAATGTATATTATATATACATCATGTGTGTGTACATGCACATATCTTTATGTATACACATAGGTATATAGGTATATAAAATTATCTCTTCCTTTTAAAAATAATGTTCACTGTTCTCCATCTACTATTTATTGACCTATATATAGGTCAATATATCCTAGAGATTATTGCATAGGATTATGTAAAAATACTCTAGTTCTTCTTACAGCCCACCTGGATTTTTGACCTAATTCTCTTCTACAGAGGACTATCTGGGGCCTGAACATTTGGACCTACTGTCTCATAAATTCAAGGGATTTAGCAGAATGGAACCACCAAACTGTCACTTGGGGTTTTGCAAGTTCATCATCCCTATCTCCTTTTCTTGAGGATATCAAATTAGTCAAATTAGGATCACCAAAGTCATTTTTAATTAATTTTTAGATGCGGGGAGTAGAGATCGCTTCATTTGTCTGTTGTTTGTCATCCGGACAGTTAATCTAAAGCCAAAGCCATTTAACCTATAACTACAGGCTATAAAATCTTTTATGCTCAGGGTTATGCCCGGAGGTTTTCTAAGCAAATCCTCATGAACTTCAGACAAATTGGCCCCAGTTTAATTGATCGTATCTCTCCCTCAAGAACAGAAGCAGAAGCACCAACTCAACATAGCAGCAATGGAACGCACCAGTTGCCCAAAGCCCAGAATTGACAAATACCACAACCAGGAGATTGCCAAGATGATTTAACAACAAGTTCTCCAAGGTTGTATCTGGGTAAAGCCAAGAGGGTTAAGTTTCCTGATGCCACAGGGACAGTCAGGATAGTTCAAAGGAAAATCTCACAGGCAGATACTGGGCTTGGCTTCACCCAAGAAACATGTGTGCTGGTCCCTGCTAAGCAGGATTACTGTAATTGGGGAAAGGAAAGCCCAAAAAAGGCTGTACTAGAGACTGAGCAGATTCGCCCTGAGGGAATATCATTTGAGACATGACATTTCTCTTAGTCTTGTTTCCAAGCAAAATCGAATTTTAAAAGAAAACTGGCATCTAACTGAACTGAATTCATCAGAGACTCACTTTCTTCCGCTTTCTCTTTTCAAGATTCTGCTTTTCTGCCAGGGACTTGATTGCCTGGATCCACGCATCAGCCATTCGCCGGATCCGGAGTCTCATCCACCGGAATTCTTCATGCTTTTTCATCATGCTGTAGAGAATATTAAAATCTGTACGAATCTCCGCCTAGAAACAGAAATTTAATAAAAATGAACAGAAGATAAAAAGTCAGAAGGCATAATGGCTGTCATGATGTGACATTTGAAAACTTGAAAGAGCTAGTCAATTAAATGCAGGGCTTCAAAAGTGAGGCTTGTCTGCTGTACAGCTTTACTTCAAGGCCCCAGGATTACAAATTAAAGGCCCCTGACTGCTGATCTGCTGTATGGGACATCATTAAAAAAATGAGAAATTGAGAAAGGCCCAGCACAGTCATTGCAAAGCCCTGAGTTACATTTAAATGCATTTTTTTTTTTTTTTTTTTTTTTTTACAATGAGTATGCTCGATGTACCTTGAAATTTTCTGCACCCGAATTTATTGCCACTTGGATCTACTGCAAGGCAGCAGACTCCTGGAAAAAGTAAAGTCAATTCTTAACAGGCTGCTTGGCATTGTGTAGGTTGCCAGAAAGCTTTCGTCTGCCCACAAAGTTAAGCAGGGAAATAAATGCTCATCTTCTAGTTTTGTCCCAATCTCAAACAAACAAAAGTTATTTTTTAAGGAATTTAAAAGCCAGCAATACCATTTTCCTACCATAGCTGAATAAAATTTAAGACTCAGGCCAGAATAATTTAAAAGCCAGGAAGAACATTTTTCTAATGTAGCTGGGTACAACCAGTGATCGGAATAACAGAAAAATAGTAGCACTCCTATTTATTTCTCGTAACATCTAGAACATGCTAACTTCATCCCTCAGCAGTCACGCACTTTGTTCTCAACACTCACCTGATCCCTTCTTGACCCAACCTTCTCCCAAGATTCCCATGGCCTACAGCATGGGTCAGCACACTGTGGCTGGGGGGCCAGATCACGCTACCAGTTTTGGTATAGAAAGTTCCGTGGGAACATGGCCACACCTGCTCATTTACATCCTGTCTATGGCTGCCCTTTGCACTCAAGATCAGAACTGAGCAGTTCCAACAGTCTCAGACCTTACAGCCTGGAAAGATGAAAATATTCACTATCTGGCCTTTTATAGAAAAAGTCTGCTGACCCTTGGTCTAAAGAACAAAGACATAAGCTTTTAGTGTGGCACAGAAAACCTTTCACAGTCCCTACTGATCTTTCCCATCTCATTTTCCACCAAAGCTCATCCAACACACTATGGCCTTGTCCACTGAACTGTGCTCTACTCCCTGAAAACACCAAACTCTGGTACAAGCACCTTTCCCGCCCCGCACATCAGACACACCTTCCTCTCCTTCATCTACTGTGAACTCACTCATCATTTGAAATTCAGCTCCAATATCATCATCTCTTTGCAACCTCTCCTAACCCCTGCAGGCTGAGATGACTGCCTTCTCACTCACTTCCATCGGCCTGTAGTTCAGCTTTTACTTGGGTGTGGTCATGATTTTCACCTGTCACCCTTATGAGATCACTGAGTGCCCCGCATCTGGCACCAGGTCTCATTCCTCTCAGGAGCCTATCACTCAGGACCCCCCAGAGAATCGCTCGAGAAACAGACACTACTGGTTAACTGATTCGATCACCCACATTTCCACAGGCCTGCAGAAAGATGTTCTTCAGTTTACCATGATTTCAGGTTACAGCGGGCATGTCTAGCTGACTCCGCAGGTATCCCTCGGCATGAGAACCAAATCACAAGCCTAGTTTCCAAAAATCACTCACCAATGAATTATGATCGGCTTCTTCATAGGGATTTTTTGCTCTCCAAGGTAAATGAGGACACCAATTTTCAACCTGAAAAATACATGAGAGACACTAAGTCTGCTGGTTCATTTGTATACCACGTAATGTTCATACTAAGCACCAAGCACACCGTTCCTGGCACAAAATGAGCACTACGTTTAAGGGGGTTGTTACTACTATTAGACTTTCATGCTTTCAGCGAGCAGCACAGACGCAGGGGACCTCTCACACGGAACAACAATAGCAAAGGAATCAAGGAGCCCACAATTACACTTTCTATCTGTCCTTCAAAGTACGTCACAGTAACTGACTCCTTCATCCGGTAAGCCTCATGCATCTACACCAGACGGAGAGGGGTCGGGGAGGGAGGGGTCTCACAGCAGCAAGGTAAAAGACGGAGATTGCAGGGGAATGAGAAGGGAAGGAGAGGCATGATCCGTTATCTGTTGAGGCATGTCTGGAAAGGAAACCGCGTGACATTTGAGCCACAGAACTCCATCGTTTATCTCAGAATTAGGAAAGCAGCTGATCGTTTAAGGCTAATTGATCAAGGCTTTCCCTCACTTTCTGGCTGTTCACTTCACACTCTCTCATCTCAAGAAGATGGTAAAAACTATTGGAGAAAAAGATAAAAGGAAGAAGGAAAAAAAAAAAAACCCTCAAAGCAATCTTGCAAGAGCCACTCTAGAAGATGGATTGTTTTGTCAATGCAAAGAAGTTTAGAGAGTTGAGGGGAAGAGGAAAAACGCCCAATTTTACAGGAATTATTTCAAAGAGGTTACCAGAGAAAATTAGGCAAAAAAAAAAATCACAATTTTTAGTAAAAGAAAGATGAAAACTGCAGCGACGAATATTGCTGGCCTCTTTTTTTAAAACTGGCCATATGATGCCAGGGTGGCATATCTCCTGTGTACATGTACATGATGAGATTATTAAAGATGGCTAATAAACAGTCATCGAAAATATCTTTTTCTGCCATCTTTCACTGGCTAGGTGGACGTACAGAAATACACGGAGCAAGTTGGGGGGGCATCCTTGGAGGGCCGCAGTCTTCTCTGCCAGGAACACAGATTCCAACGAGATGGTGTGCCCTCCAGTTCCGGGTGCATTTTCAAACACACACAGCAATTTCCCTCATCTAGAAATTGCTCTTAATGCCAGGTGATTTTGACTATGACCAAAATAACTGCGTGATTTGCATAAAGCCATCTGCTACTGCAAATGATGGGAAAGAAATAAGCGGAGGGCAGCAAAGCTTGGGGGAGGGTGGAATCCATGGATAGGAAAAGAGCAATATTCTCTCTCTCTCTTTTTTTCTTGTGGAGCAAAATTAGACTACCGTATTTGTGAATGACTTCAGAGACTCAAAAGGACTCCCCAGGAGGAAAGCTGAAATGGTTTCTACTCATAAAAAAAAGAAAATACTGACTTGCCTTGGATGCCCATGTCTAATTATGGAGACCTTGCAGCAATATCACCGTGAGAAGCAATATCTGGGGCTCCACACATGTGAGAAATGAGGGAAAACCAGCAGAAAAGCAGCCTATAAGCAGATGAAGCCTCAGCTGGTCCCAGCAGCAGGGCAAACATCTGTACCTTGGAATCTTAGGCCAGCGTGAATTATTTACTTCAAATTAAATTCTTGCAAATGGACTAAATAAAACATTGCTATGAGGCATATTTATAACATGAAGGCTTCCCATGGACTGTAGCTTAGCATTTTCCACTGTGAGACCTTCAACCCCACACAAAACGGATGAGGAGGAGCGAGCAGGGTACAGATCTGAAGTCAGCCTCACACTAAATTAAGTAACGACATGTTCACAGCCACACGTCAGGATAAAGAATTTCCCCACAAATAGCCTAAGAGGGAAAGATGAAACAAGACTGTGCATAAAGTCAACCAAATGGAGAGACATGAGTGAGACGAGATACTGACAAAGAAAAGTACATTCCCTCCTTGCTCTTCCACCCTCAAAAGAACCTCTCAAAATTCACTCAGATGAAAATACTGTCCGAGGGGATCTTCTAAAATAGGACTTCCCTACAGAACACTCAGGACTTTAATTCCTCTTTGAAAGTGATCGTTTATCTCAGTTCTCGTTACTCTAAATCACTGGATAATACTTTGCAAGGTTTCAAGGGCATCGCTAAAGTACAGAAAACGGAGTCAGCGCATTTTAGCTTTTTAGCAAGAAATCTTCCTGCTAGGGTGGCTCAGTCGTTGGGCGTCTGCTTCGGCTCGGGTCATGATCGCAGGGTCCTGGGGTCGAGGCCCACGTCGGGCTCCCTGCTCAGCTGGTAGCCTGCTTCTCCCTCTCCCGCTCCCCCTGCTTGTGTTCCCTCTCTAGCTGTCTCTCTCTCTGTCAAATGAATAAATTAAAAAAAAAAAAAGGAAATCTTTCTGCTATAATATTCACTCGTAATGGAGGAAAAACCAATTATGAACATCTCTGACACCAAACGAAGATGGTGGGTTTTTAAGGTTGCTGTTTTTGTATACAGTCAGGATGACTGGCTAACAAAATAATTAAATTATACATAAACCAATTTCTCCATGGGAAGCGGGGGGTGGGGGGGGACCCAAACCACTTTTTTTCTGAAACCTCAGAGGATTACCAAGATTGGAAGAAAGCCAGTACTGGCAGTAACTCCAAGTACTGAAACAGCCCTCAAATGAGCAAAATTTTCCTAAATAAGATCGTCATTAATAACACTCAGGGAAAGTCTTGCTCAAGGCTAATAACTCAACCTCCTAATCCCTAATTTTGTTTTCTGCCTGATTTACCCAGGGCCATTGAATGAGTCCAACCCCCCAGCACAGCATCCTCCCAAGAAAGCTGGACCCTAGAATGAGCCCACTGCTTTCCTGCTCTGGAAGCTCTTCTAGTTCAAATTATTCTTACCATCTCTTCTCTGCTTCTTAGAACCCTCATGGCCTCTATCAGCCTGGTGCCTTCCTATGCCCACGCCTTTGGCCACACTTTTCCCACTGTGACCCCTGGTGCTCTCCCTGGGACAGGATTTTGTATTTGCTCCAGGTGCAGGCACATGATGTGGCTGGACCCTCCCACTGTCCACTCCCACCCCTGCCCGGCTCCTGGGAGCTGGGGAGCCCTGCCTCAAGACCTTTGCCAGGAAAGGAACTGGATAGGCTTCAAATAGTCCACAAATCACCACAGTACCTCTTAAGCACCGAAAACCACCTGAGTTCATGGCAACACGCACATAACAATCAACAGAGGAGCCAAACCATGCCTCAAATAACCTTCGATTTGAAGGCAAAACTCCTTTCCCAGAACCCATCTTTTTAGCGCACGATCCTCAGGCCACAAACTGAAGAGGCAGGAAAAACAGAAAAAGACCAGCCAGGCTAGAACTTTGGAACATTAACACATATTCCACAGAGAGAGTCCTATAAATCACCTTTCTGGAATAAGGAGATATAAAATTAACCAATTTGATTTTTGACAAGCCTCCTCCCAGTGATTTAAACTTCTTTGATCTGAGAAGGTTTAGTAGCTTATTCATGAGCAATGTGAGTCAAAACAAAGTCCCTAAACAACTCATGTGGGTCACACTTACTTGCAAAGTCTGTAGAATGGACAATTCGTTATATTTAAGAAAAAAGAAACCACTAGTAAACACATATATAGCTCAAGTTAGAATTTAAAGAGGGCAAAGAAGCAATAAAATTACAGCAAAAACTAGTAGGAGATTTAACATGTATATGCACGAATTTATGTACAACTGGTATAACTTTATAGTAACATTCGACTCTTTGGAAAGAATAATGAACAGGCACCATTATGGCCTCTTCTCTCGTGATTAACGTGAAGTGTTTGGCTCTAATGGGTCACTGACATATAGAATTTCATGCCGTATTTTTCAGATAGTAAGTGCAATCAAAACTAAATGAGAAAAATGTGTAAGAAAGGTGAGCTTATCTCTGGATGAGGGTGTTACGGGTGCTTTTCATTTTCTTCTTTATGCTAATCTGCACATTATGAGTTTTTACAATGAATGTTTATTAAGAGAATAATTTCTAAAGGAGTTACCTTATATAAGCATATAGTCACTTACTGAAGGTTTACAGTAAGTCAGGATCTCTGGGAAAAAAATAAGCTTGCATGCATTACATCATTTAATCCCTGAAGAGCCACGTGACATGGGTACCATCACCAGGTTACATGTGGGGAAGTCAAGGCTCCAAGGAGATGGGAACTTTCCAAGGCAAGCTCACAGTGAGCTCCAGGACTGGGTGACAAATGGGGTCTATTGCTCCCCTGACCAGAACACGTTAGAGCCTCCCTTAAAGACCAAGCTTAGTGGAGGACAGATGACTGTTGAGTGGGGAAAGAGCACTGAATTTGGAATCGGCCAAAAGGGACTCTGTGCCCAGCTCTACCAATGACTAGACATATAAACTTAAAGCATTTAGTTTTCAAGTTTTCTCACCAAATGAAGGCGATGGCTCAGCTGACTTTATTTTTTTTTTTAAGATTTTATTTATTTATTTGAGAGAGACAGTGAGAAAGAGTACCAGCAGGGGGAGCAGCAGAGGGAGAGGGAGAGGGAGAAGTAGACTCCCCAGTGAGCAGGGAGCCAGATGCCCGGCTCGTTCCCAGGACCCTGAGATCATGACCTGAGCCGAAGGCAGATGCTTAACCAACTCAGCCACCCAGGTACCCTTCAGCTGACCTCTTAATAACCCTATTACATTATAAGATTCTACATCATCCTATCCAGGCTAGTTGGTTATATATCAAAAGGGTGTAGCTATGTATCTATTCATTTAATACACTATTCATATGAATATAGATACACACATACCTACATACATGTATTCATCATACTGATGACATATCAAATGAAGTTACTCATGAAGGTATACACTTAAAAAAGAAAAGAGCTTTCTCTACTCTGCTCCATACCCCACCCAATTCCCTTTCTAAGGCTCAAAAAGCCAACGCAAATGGTAAAAGATGTCTACACGTCACTACGTGATTCAGCTCTCTAGACTGGTCCTCTGCACCAAACACCTGAGCTGA